TCATTTCACGTACTCACATTCCATGAGAGTAGACATGTATTTTCTCCTGTTTCCTTGAAAGTGTTTAAGAATGAGACACCCATAAAAGGCTTGCGTGCCGTGTCTATGATGATTCATTTTCTGATTTATCGCTCTGGTTGCCTAGCAACTTACAATGTTATGACCGAAGCAGGATTAATCTAATTATTTACAATGGGCCAAATGTGTCTGAGATAGAAAGCCTTTATWGGTTAAGGTTGGTTATTCTTTGTTTCTTGGCAAAGGAGCTCCAATACACAACAGATTCTATAATAAATATTGTGAATGTAATGTGACTTAGGCGAGTAACTGAGCGGATAAGACCACAAATGGCTGGAACAGCTCTGGAGTGACAGGGCAGTGCGATGGGGCAGCGAGCTGTGTGTGCCCCATCTTAGCCGCAGGCAGAATAGTGTTTACACCCCCACGGAGGCACTTGTGTGCACTGTCTCTGGAGGCACATGTTCATGTTCTGGACCTCAGTGAATGTCATCTCATGGGTGTTATTATTTTTGGTGTTGCACAGTCTTTTTTGAGGTTTGCTTTTTTAAAAAAACCTCTATTTAGGTATGATTCACATTTAAGAGAACGTACCATTTCTGTGTACTGCTTGATAAATGTGGAGAGTTCGTTTTAATATTCTGACTGCAAGTCCTCTTCCTGACATATATATTGCCAATAATTTTCCCTAGTTAGTTGCATGTCTTTTTGATTTTCTTGATTTTACGTCTTCTTTTTCTCTCTGCTATGGTGCTGGAGCGGAACCCAGGGCCTGCACATGCTGGGCAAGGCCTGGGCTRGGGTTGGAGTGTACAGAGGAGCTGCCCCCAGCCCCTTGACGCTATCTCTGGGRAGCACAGTATCACTGATCTTACTCTCCTTGGAGGTCTAGAGTATCATTTCTTTCCCTTTTATGGTTCGTGCTGCTTCTGCTGTGGATTCTCCTTGCAGCAGAGCCCTGTCTCCAGTGACTGTTTCACCTACACCCTTGGCTCKGCCTTTGTGCCTCACCCTCTGGCTGTGCGGCTGCGTGAGGCGGGACAGAAGCCCCTGGTGTGGGCTGGGGATGTGGCTCAAGCAGTAGCGTGCTCGCCTGGCATGTGTGCTGCCCGGGTTCGATCCTCAGCATCGCATACAAACAAAGATGTTGTGTCTGCCGAAAACTAAAAAATAAATATTAAAAAGTTCTAAGAAAAAAAAAAAAAGAAGCTCCTGGTGCGAGGCTCCCTGGCCTTGGATGGCCCTGTGCTTCCAGCTGCTGCCGTGTCCCCCCACTACATTGTTTTCTCCCTGCTCGGACCCCCACCCCCTGCTTCCTCTTCTTCTCGCTTGGCTGATGCTCTTGCTTCCTCCTATGGAGAGAATGAGTAGGTGGCTAATATGTTTTAGCTGGACCCACTGTTTTTCCAGTAGCTGTTATGGTTTGGATATGAGGTGCCCCCCAAAGCCATGTGGGAGCCGATGCAGGAATGTACAGAGGTGAAGTGATCAGATTGTGAGAGCTGTAACCTGATGAACCCACTCGCTGGCTTAACAATCTGAAAGGACTCCTGTACTGGGTGGAAGGAACCTTAGGCAGGTGGGGTGTGGCTGCTGGAAGAAGGTCCCCCGTGGCGTGCCTTTGGGTTTATTCTTTGTCCTTGGGCTTTGCCTGTTTCACTGCTTTCTGGGAGCCATGAGTGGAGCAGCTGTCCTCCGCTGCCCTTCTGCCTTGATTTTCTGCCTCACCTCCATCCCAGA